ATAGGATGCTCATATAGAAGATATATACGACTGATCTGTAAAATTAATAGGTAAAATCGTCCGTAAATTCGTCACAAGAAATAGTTTACTTGCCCACTCTCTTTTTATAAGAAATCTGATTTTTAAAAAAGACAATAATTTCAAGTAAAAAATTGTTCAAATTCTTCTTAAAAGAGAAGCTTCTTAAATAGAAGAAGCTGTTGACTTAAGTTGATATATTGATTTTTTTAAAGAATATTAGGATCTTAAAAATTTAGGTATTTCAATTTTGAAAAATTTTAATTTTATTTTCCCTTTTAAATTTTTTAAAAAAAAATTTTTTATTCTTAATTTTTTCCGTATACAGAAATAAATTAAACGTTCTAGGAGGGGGATTTTTTTTATTTCAAAATTTAAAATATCTTTATAGAAAAGTAAAATTACTCTAAACCTTCTAGGAGGTCAAAATGAAAACAAAAAACACACAATTTTAATTTTACACACCAAAAATTGTTAGAATTGTTTTATAGTTCATTATTTTAAATTCATAAAATAGACCACAGAAATAAAAATATTTAAAAGTACATATTCATTCCATAAATCGATAAATTCCACATAAATAATGTTAATATTGAGAGTTTTTCATATTCCTGATAAAATTCTATTGTAATTGAATTTTTTTAAGACTTTTACATTTTTTTAAATTTTAAATAAATTTTGATATATTTTTTTTCATATTTTATACACAAAAATTATTTACACATTTGTAATGTGTATAATTTTATTTTTAATTGAGCTAATAACTGTTCTATATATTTGTGCTATGTTTTATATTAAATGAAATATAAATATTTCTCTTATATTATTATTTATTCTGTGACTCAGTAGAATCGATATAACATTAAAAATATTTTTTGACTGGCATGAGATTAAAAATTTTGTCTTTTTTTTATATTAAATATTTTACCCGTAGGTACATAAGTACTAAAACCTAAAATTTTTTTTTTAGTTGCATTACTCATCATAAAGTAATAAAAAATACTTAATACAAAATGAATATATGTACATATGTTTTGAACATATATAATGTATATATATAGTGTGTATAGATGCTTTTCAATGGGCTAAAATATGTTTCTTGGCAAAACAATTAAGAATATTTATAATTTGCACAAAAAAATAAGAGAATATATTCATCATTAATTAAAAATAGGATTTTTGCATCGTTTATAAAAAAGAAAAATATTTTCAGTTTAATGCAAATAAAATTTCAAAAGTTTGAGCTTTCTTTAGATCTCAATTTTATACAAATTAAACATAAATAAATATATGTACATAGGGATATATGTATGTATATATTATATAATAGACCGACTTATTGAGCGTCACAAACATGTTTATCCTTTATTTAAAAAATTTTTATATGATACATGACTAAAAAACTTATTTGACAAATGAAAACGAATTCTAATATTCAATATATAAAATATACGTTGATGTACATATCAAATATATACAAATTTATATTTATATACATGCACATATTTATATGCATAAAAAGAAAGAATAATATTCATAAATATTCATATTCCATTTAAAGGTGGAAACACTTTAAAATACGATACAAAATTGAATATCTCCTTAAAATTTATAAAAACATACTAAACTTTGATATATAACTATATATCCTAGTTTTATTAATGTTTTTATACACATATATGTAATATGAAATTTTTATATAGTTATGCTACCACTTTCTTTATAAAATTTTCAAAATGTCTTGTATAAGAATATGTGTACTAAACTATCACAACAAATCATGAACATCCTTCCTTATCATATATTTTAATAAAATTTTTAAATTATATTTTTTTTTCTTACATAATCTTATTTCTTCTATATAAATTTAATTTAAAAAGTAATTTATCCTGAGAGAACAAACTAAAATAAATCCACAATATTTTTTATCCTATATTAAATAAATTTTAATGGAATTAAGAAGAAAATAATATTAAAAAAAATATATTTTTTTAATTTATTTTCCATTAAATTTAATTAAGTGTAATAAATTGAATATATACCATTTTTTTTCAATTTTATTTTTTAATGTATTTTAAAATTTTCCTAAATTAAAACATCAATCATTTTACCATTTCATGCATAAAATTTTAAAATTTTGTTAGAATTTCCGCATATACACCTAACGACAAAAAAAAGTTTCCACTAAAATTTTTTTGGTTAGACCATTTTTATGGAATAAAAAATCACTGTAGATGAAAAATTAAAATTACAAAATTTATATATTTAAAATTTTTGGTTAATATTAGATATATTTTCAAAAAAAAATTTTATTATTTAACATGACTTGAGAAAATATTTGCTAATTTATATTAAAAAGACAAAAAAACTTAACATTTCATTTCTTAAGAAATAAATAACAATGTAACAAATTCAACTTCAATATTGTAAAATTAAGAAAAAAAGGATTCATTTTGGTATAACGGATTAATTTTATTAAAAAGCTGTTATTTCAAACAATTTTTCTACAAATATTTTAACTTATTTAGGGTTTAGTAAGAAGTAGTGCCGTCCTTTGCTTCAGGTACTGCTTTTACTCGTCTGGGCATTGATTTGCAGAGCTGTATAGTATAAAATGGACTTAGTTCGTTCTGCCACACGTCTAAAATAATTCTTTTTAGCATATGCATATTTGATAGCTCTTTTTCTCTTATCTTTTTACCCATAACGTGCCACACATGTTCTATTGGGTTTAGATCTGGACTATTTCCTGGCCAATTTAACGACACTATACCTAAATATTCTTTATGCTCGTTCACTTATTGAATAAAAAAAAAGTGGAGATTAAAACACAAATAACGAAATTAAATTTGCTATCAAAAATACTTGCATTTTTAGCTCTGTGACAAGGAGCAGAATCGTCCTGAAAAATTGCTTCATCCAGATTTTCGAAAAGAGATTCTATCTCTGGTACTACGCCTTCATTAATCATCACTATATATTTATTTGCGCTCACAAATCCATCAAGCAATAAAATACTACCAACTCCGTCATAAGTTATGCATCTCCATACCATACAATAACTTGAATGTTTTACCGTCGATTTTATAGTATTTGTGTTATATCGTTCAGCATTTCTGCGCCCCACCCTTAGTGTACCATCCGGCCCCATCAAATTAAATTTTGATTCGTCTGAAAATATGACCTTCCTCCAATCATATTCGGTCCAGTTTATATATTGACGACACCATGCGAGCCCTTTTTTCCTTCATTTTGTTCGTTAAAAGAGGTTTTTTTGCTGGAATTCGCGATTTTAACCCCATTTCGTTTAGCCTCCTTTGAACTGTTCAAACACTACAAGGCACGGATTGGGATTTAATTAGTTCCTTCTGTAGTTTAGTAGCCGGCAAGAATCTATTTTTCAAACTTAGACGCTTCAGATGAGCTTCGTCTCGTGGTGACGTTACTTTCTTTCGTCCGGACGCTTCCTTCCGTGTTAGACAACCTGTTTGCTTATATATAGCAATTATTTTATTTACACAAGGGAGACTGCACTTTACACGACGTGCAATTCCACGCTTGCTTAAATTATTTTTAAAATAAGCAATAATTTCTGCCCTTTTTTCAATTGACAATTGCTTTTTAAAATCCATTGCACACTGTAATCCATCAAAACAATTCACTAAAAAGCACTTCACTTCCTGCTAAACTGTAACCCTTTTAACACAAAATACTCAAAACCTATTCGACACCATAAACAAAGTACCGTTATAAATAAATTAGCCGATGTTGCCAAGTTTTTTTAATAAAAAATGAATATTTATGTTTAGAATTTAATGGAAACTTTTTTTTGTCGTTGGGTGTACTATTTTTGAACAAAAAGTTACCAAAATAATATGTAAAATTTTATTTTTTTTATATTTATAATCCTATTTAAATTTATTTGAACTTTTATTCAAACAGTTTAATTATAACGATATATTTTCAAGGAATGTTCTTGCTTTACATCTTTTATTTTTTAATAACAAATTCTTGAATAACTAAACCAATCGTAAAATTTTAATTTTAACTGAATTTAATAATTTAGTAGTACAGAGGTATACAAAGTATATAAAGTATATATTTCAAGTAATAATAATTAACAAGGACAATAAGCGATAAAGAATCATTTACAGTTTGAGAAAATTTTACTACAATTTGAGAAAATTTAATAAATCTATGAAGTTAATAAATGAAGTCTTATGAACATATTTAAATTAAAATTAAATTGCAAACCTAAAATAAATTTATCGTTTAATTTAAAATTTCATTCAAGTTAAAAATGCATAAGCATAATATTACTACTATTTCGTTATAAATAATATTAATGTAAAAAATATATACAAAAAGCATAAATATTCAATTTATCTTTTCATAATAATATGCTGTGTGAATATCAACGACTATTTTATAATATAATATAAATTACAAATATAATTAATTTAAAACACAAATAATAAAAACTTAATTTATATATGCCTTTTAATTATGTATTTTTTTAATATAACATATTTTAGAAATGTGATAGTTTGAATAGAATTTTATTCAGATACAAATTTATTCTATAAGAAATTTTTTCAATAAATATTAACATATATTTTTTTAATTACTTTGTTTATAATTTCTATATATAAAAAATTGAGCAATAATAATTACAATTAAACATAAATTAGTAATTAAAAATGTGAAACTGGAAAAATTCAATTTATTTTCAAAACTTTTCAAATTTTTTCTTTATAATAATCTTAATGATTATAATTAAGTATTATTTAAAAAAAAAATTAATTAAATAATATAATTAATTTTATATAAAAAAAAATAGATTTAAGCTACATATTTATTTCTATTTATTTCTTACAATTCCTTTAAATTCAAAATGTATATATATTTTTGTACATATTATTATATTATTATAACTTTTCTAATAACAACTATTTTTATTTATTTTTCTTTTTCTTTTGTAGGCTTTTTGTCTCTACAATTTAAAAATAAATGATTTATATATTGAAGTCTACCAGTAATAAATTAACATAACAGATGTTACCAATAGCAGTGCTAATAACGTAAAAAAACACAATACCAAAAGAAGAACAACAATAATAACAACAACAGCTACAGCAATATCCGAATATCTAAAAACAAAATCAAATTAATTTAATTTTTAACATAAAAACAAAACAAAAATTTAAACTTTAAAGTTAAAAGAAAAAATTTAATTTAATTTTTTTCTTATTTTAAAATTGAAATTGGAATTAATTTCGAAAGAAAATTACATAAATAGAAAGGGATAGTAGAACAAAAACAACCAAACATATTTTTATTTTTAAAATGTTAAATCCAAATCATCCCGGTTCGTCAAGACGACCGTTTTCACGTGGTGCAGCACCAAGAAGTCGTAATCGTATGCCATTTTCACCACACTCGCATCATTCCCAAAGAAATAATCATGGCCAATGGTACAAAGATCAAATGGATCACTGTTATGCGTTAGGGTAAGAATATCGAGTATAAAAATTTCAATTGATAATCTAAAAAAAAAATAAATTAATTAAATACTTTTCTTTTTTTTTCTATTCTTAGATAATTAAAAAAAAAATTAAATTTTTTTAATATTGATTTTCTTTTTATTAAATAATGATGAGCTCATCATCAACAAATAAATTTACTCTCCAAAAAAAACAAACAAGGAAAAATAAAATCTTTAATTTTTGTTTTTTGTTTATACATTTTATAAATTACATATCCGGATATAATTGTAATAATTAAAAAAAAATTATTAAAAAAGCTTTTCAAATTTGCTTTATTTGGAGATCTTATGATGATGAGTTATCATTATTAATAAGCTGTGTATAGTATAACTGAAGAAAACTCCAGAAAATGATTTTTTTTCGTGAATCAAATAAAATCAATGTTAATTATATAAGAAAAAACTAGCGAAACGAAAATTTGATTTCTATTTGAATAAAACAGAAATAAAATTGAGCTCGTTTTTTACACATTTAATGATATAATGTATTAAATTAATTATTTAATACATAATTAAAAATAATTATTAATATATTATGTATTAAATTAATTTAAACAATACAAAACTTTAATTATAAACAAAACTTTAATTTTTACTAATAATCTTAATTTTTTTCTTGTCAAAATATTTCTGCTGAAAATGCGAATTTTCAAAACAAGAAAAAGTTTTTTAATATTAAATTTATAACTTTAGGATTATTAAAAAAAATATTTTTCATTTGAATTCCTTCAAATGAAAATATATATTTAAATCAAGTATTTTATAAAAACTTGCCGGGGATGTTACCATTATATATTAATTCTTCAATTATACTATACATAAAACAATGAAAACACAACATAAAATAAATTTAATATAAAAATAATAAAAAAATATATAGTAAAAATCCCACAATCTATACCTTCCACATTTATCTCAAATTCAAATTACCGATCTTATAAATATATATATACATTTTGTGATATATATAATATCAAACCAAAAAAAAACAAATAAAATCAAATGAAATCCATCTTATCAAACTAGAAATTAAAAAATATTAAACCAAACTTTATCCCATCAACAAAGAGGTTTTAGGGTGAATTTTGTAATTAAAACAAAAAAAAAACAATTATTAATCGTATACATACTTTTTTTTTATTAATTATTAAATTAGTAATATATATTTTTTTTAATTTACTTATTTGTCATTAATATACTGTAATATTTATTATTAATATAACAAAACCAAAAAAAAAAACAAAAACTTTATTAATTTTAAAAATTGGCACCGTAATCTTGTATTTTATACATTTAAAATTATATGTGTATATTGTGAATAAATATAATTTGATTTTCATATAAAAAAAAAACATTATTTACAAATTACTCAATTATATTGTTTAATTATATTTCCTTCATTATCATATAATTATAATTTTTATAATTAATAATTTTTATAATTAAAATTGAAATTATGTTTCACATTGTATTTTCTTTTTAATATGTGAATATTAAGACTATCTTGTTTTAATAAATTGTCTGATCGGCAGTTTTCTAACGAATAGGTTGTGATAAATTGACATAGGTATAATATACAAATACAATAATGAGCTGTCTTTTTAAAAAGCAAAAAAAAAAAGAACGAGTTTAGATAAAAAGTATTACAATATACTATTTCCAATATTTAGTGTATATTTCAAATTCCAAAATAAATATAAACAAAACTATTTATTCAAATTCTAAAAAATAATTCATATCAAAAAATAAAATCTTCATATTCAATACTTTTTGATAAATGCAATTTATTTTAAATTTATTAAATTGGATTTAATTAAAATTTAAGAACTTATGCTACGATAGAGAATGGAATTTCAAAAAAATACAATCTATGTAAATCTAAAAATCTGAATTACCACAAAATTCATATTATAATGAACGAAATTTCATTATAAACAAAATTCTTCTAATTTTAATTAAAATTAATTAAAAAATTATTTAAAAAATTATTTTAGTTTGTAAATTATTTTATATGAAAACAAAACGATGCGCATTGTCTAAATTATACACATATAATATAATTTTTCATATATTCTTTTTTTTTTTAATTTTTGTAATATTTTTTTTTTCGTACTTTTTTTCATGAGTTTTGTTACACTGGATAACTCATCATATTTCTTATATTGCTTTTATTAACTTCGTCAAATTGAATGCACTCAAGTTTATTCTATATATAAAAAATAAAAGCATTTTAGTTTTTTAGAAAATGTTAATTTTTGATTATTAATAAATTATTCATAAATGTAAAAATAAATTAAACTTAAAAAAATATTTTATAGTTGGAAAATGGTTTCATGTTTTGATTAATATATTTTAAATTTTTTTGTCCTTTTTTGTATTCTTTTTCATTGAATTTTTAATTTTTTCTCTTTTTTTTTTTTACTGTACATTTTCTTTTTTATTTAAAATTTCTTTCTTATAAACATTTTATTTATTTTCATTTTTTTTTTTTGATTAAAATAAAATTATTAAGTATTACATTCCTTTTAAACTAATTTTTTTATCAACTTATAAATAATTATACATGTTTTAGATTAAGAAACTACTTAGAATGAACATAACCTACAAGATTTTATTAAGTTTGCCGAATTTTGCATGTGTATAATAACTGAGATATACCGAATAAATTAGAAATACGGAACAAGAATTTTTATTCCATAGAATGTTTACATATCTTATAACAAAAATGAAGATTGCTAATTTTTTGTTATTATGATAAAAAAACAAATTAAATCTATAAATAAAAGTTTTTCAATAGCGTGCAAACTTTCAGAATATTTTTATAAATCTCAATATTCCTATAAATCATCCGAAAATTAATCAGAATTTTAATTTTTAGCACTATAATTTATTTAACATTATTTTAATGAATAAATTATAAATTTGAGTTTTTTAAAAATTGGTTTATAAAGATTTTGTGATTTTATTAAATATTCTGATTCTATAATAATTTTTAGTCAACGCATATTATTGCATTATAAAATTTTTTTCCTTTGAAATAAATTTTTGTCAATGATAAAATAAAAAATGAATTCACAAAATTATATGATGTTAAAAGCTAAATACATTAATTGAAAAATCAAAAAATTTTCTAAAAGTTTTTTCAAAAATTATTTTTATCTTTTGTATTTTTTTCCCCCTTTCGACATTCCGTTTTATTTTTTCTAACATTCCCATAAATTCGAAATACTACTTACTACATAATCATTTACAAATGCAGAAATTATAATTAAACTACTTGAATTTCAAATTAAAATATTAATTTTGATTATTTTCATTCTAAATAGTTATTAAATATGTACAAATTTTTTCATATTGAAACAATTTCATTTTATAGTTTAAAATTCCACATGAGCTGGTAATGGAAAAGTTTAAAGATTTATAATTTAAAAAAAAATAACTTTTATTTGATTTAGTTTGAAATAAATATATTTTATATATACATATTATGTACATACATTATGAATTTAAAAAACAAAAATTAATGATAATATAACATTAACAAATTTTTGTAAATTTTCTAAATTGTTCTTAAAAAATTTAGAAAAAAAAAATTTTTAACATAATTATTACAAGAGCTGCAAAAACATTTTAATTTACATTTTACATTTTCTGTTTGATGTTTTCGAAATATTATTCAATAAACAAAAAAAAAGATAACAAGAAAAAGGTTAGTATAAAATTTCTAAAGATTTATTTCGAAAAGTAAAAGGCTTTTATAATGCCATCAAAATCAGTTTATATTATTTAGAGGAATTATTAAAAAGTTTATAAGATTTTTATATAATAAGTTTAATTTACATAGTATTTAATGCAAAATTCCAATAAATTAATTTCAAAAATAAAATTAAACTAAAATAATATGATTCTCAGCTATAAAATTTAATTGTCACATAAACGTATTATTTAATAATGAATTATTTTTATGAGTTACATATTATATACAAAATGTTGTGTTTTAAAAACAAAAATTCTTATTTATTTATAAAATTTCTTCATTTTATAATAATAATTAGTATGCACTTCAAATATATCAAATTTTACAAAATCATGTAAAAAAAAATTTAAATATGTGTGTGATATGGATGATCTAGCAACATTCTTCATCTAATAATACAGGAATTTTGCTTCTTTGCTACCATCATTTTTTAGCTTATTACAACCTCATAAAATATTATAAAATAATTTTAAATTTTTACTTGAAAGTATTTTTTCTATAAAATTTATGAATGAATACTAAATACCTTAAAATTCTATATATTTTATATATATTGCTTCTTATATTCTACAATGAACTACAGAACACAGCTACTATATCGAATAATCTCATATTTTATTTAAAAAAGCTCGTTTATATAAATCCAAAAATTGTTATGTACTAGAAAAATCTATTATAAAAAAATGTTATTCCAATTGTAATAGCTAATTTCTTTATATTTTTGTCCAATTTTTCCGTGTCTATATAATGTTTATGTCTCGTGTTTTTAAAGACTTAAGAAATTTTAATTTTCTTATCTCTATTTTTTAGAAAGTTGCAGCTCAAAATTATATAGCGTTTGCCAACTGACAAAAAATAATTTCAAACAAGACAAAAAATAGGATATTCTGTGTTTTTGGCAACAAAATTTTTAATATTTAAAGCTATAGTAATATGAAAACATGTTGTTCAGTGTACATACATAACTATAAACGTGAAAATAACTACAAACGTTAAAAATGAAAAAAAGTACTTTGTGAAATTTTTAAATATATTGCTTTGTTTTTATTTTATTTATATTTAAAAAAAATCTTTTTAGAAATTTATATAAAATATCAATAATAATTAATTTCCATTTCTTCTTTATTATTTCTTTTTTCTTTGAAATTGATAAAAGTTTATACATAACAAAATTCCTAAAAGTAAATAAAACTATGTCAAAATTATTC